GTTATTGTTGCTGTTGCCACTAGCAGTGAACGCCTTAGTTTCCGTCCAGTACACGACTGACCGGATTCTTGTTTGCCGTCTTTCAACAAAGTACATGAAAGTCAACATTGTTGTCGTGTACTCGTCCACACCATCAATAATCGATCGTCGTCGATGATGGCGGGAACAATTCCAACTGGCTTCATTGGATGGGCCAAGATGGCCCCGGGACGCTAAATGACAACGGTATCAACTGACGTAGACAGTGATCAGGCACTGTTTCAGGAGCCATCTGGATCATATATTTATAAACAGGAAGTGGTGAATTACCTTTCATGACAACTAGGCACGACACTGAGTTAACACTGGCTGGGACCACTTCATGGTGTCCTAAAGCTCCTCCTCTAACTGGCCACGCCCCGCAGAACATCATGAAGATAGGCGAACTTCAAATTCGAAACTAGAAAATACCCAGGAACTTGCGCAGCATTCCAATACGAAATCAGCAGCAGATTAAGGGTTGCTGTAAAGGACATAACATGCCAGCGCCCAGAGTTGTCGTACCAACAGCTAAAACAAGGTATTGTCGGTGCCGCAGCAAATATATTTGGTCCAAGCACAAAGACGAAGCTCTCATGGGTCTCGGCAGAAGCCCTCACTTTGCGCCAAGAAGAAACGGGGAAGTAAGAGTTCTTCCAGAACCCGGAAGAGACTAAGAATAGAGAGTATCGGCATCCTGTGAAAGCATCTTCAGAAGTTAACTCTGTGACAAGCTTTACTAGATGAATCTAAAAGCGCAGAAGCTGGAGCAGGCGGTTTTTATTAATGACTGTACAACGCCTTGCATGCAAGTCTACATCATTGCCAATGGCCATAGATATAAGCCCCTAACTTGTCCGATTTTTAGCATGTCAGACGAGCCTCTTCCGTATCCGGACAGTCGTCAAAGGAGATGGCTGAACACTTCGAAGAACTGCTAAGATGGCCCGCCTCAGAGGATGACCTGGAAATTCGAAGACTGGAAAGAACTGGAAATTTACTGCTCCGTCCTACTAAAAGATGAAATACGAGCTGCCTACGTTCGAAATCCTGCAGTCATGAAATGATTAGTCCCGAAATTCTGAAGTTTTCGCG